TATATTTTTAAGGATTACTAATTAAATGATCAAAAAGGAGAAATAATTGGTATTATGTTGGGTATCTCCTTCCATGTTTATTAAAGTATGATTGATTTTCAAAATAGATGCTTTATTAATTTGAAAACTTTGCATTTTTCATTTTGATTGTAAGATAATCATGGGACCTTATACATTTTAATTCACTAATGAAGACTAAACTGTTCATCATAAACCTTATCTAGGAATGTTGCATCAAAAAATAAGAAATATATTTACCTTAAGGTTATTTCTATAGATAAGTAGAATGGGAGCAAGGCAAAAAATTCAGAGTCCTATGATAAACCACTTTCATGGAAAGGATCAGACCAGTGTACCAGAAAATGCCTGCAAGCAGCAATTCTGAATGCTCATATTAGGAGAGTTACTGCAGGTGACATCTATTCCACACTCAAATGTCATAAAGACAATGGTGCAAAGGGAGAGTCAGCACTGGGTCAGCAGATACTGAAAAGTAGATTTAGAAGATGTCAGCATAAATGTAGTAGTAAAACTCATGAGCATGAATGATGGTGCCCTGAAGAAGCATATAAATATATACACATTCAAGTGGAATTTTGAACGATCCCTGTGTGATTCCCTGAGTAACCTGGGCAACACTAGTTTAATACAAAGACATAATACATTGTGGAAACTAAAACTTATTACAGGCCATTGCTCTAAGAAATTTTATATAAAAACAAAATAAATTGAATCCAGTCTGTAGAAGTAACTATGTTTTGCAGCTTATGATAGAAAATGAATTTTTAAAAGAAATAATTGTACCTGTTTGTATTTTATTAAATATCATACAATGGAAATTGTTTTGCTTTTCATAAACTTATTATATATATATATATATATATATATAATAAACAAATATAACATGCATTTTTGATGAGGAAACAGATATTTTGATTATTGAAAAAATATAAATAAATATTTATTTTAGATAGTATTTATAATGTTTCCCATGGGGAAAACATAAACAAGTATTGAGGTTGACTCTTTCATGAGGCTGAGTGTATTTTTTTTTAATATCTGTTAAGAATGCCTTGGAATGTCATTTTCTTCATCTGGTACACGATATTGATGTCAAGTATAAACAATAACAACCATCATATTTGGAGTCCCTGTGATTTTCTCACATTAAAAATCAGTATGGTAGTAGACTCCCACTTTATGTTGACCAATTCATCTTGATTATCCAGGGATATTTCTGGGTATAGTACTAGATATTCAGCATCCTGAGAGTCTCACAAACCACAGGCGAATAAGATCAGATAATCAATCTTTCTCTGCAGTCAAGGCAATATTACCATTTTTAGATGGAAAACATTATAACACTATTGAGGTGTTTGTACCTGTTATCAAATTTTATAGATACTTATATAAATTTTTCACTTTAGAAACAAATTTTGTGATATTTCTACAGCAAGACAGATGGGGTATACTCAAAGAAAAATAAAAAAGCTATATTAAGAAAATCTGTGTGCAGTAATCAGAGAAATATTGATGCCTGCAAGACAGGAAAGACCAAGTTTCTGGTGAGAGGATTATGGCAGACAGCTGAAATGACATTCTGAAGTAACTTTTTTTCCATTTTCCATAGGTGTGTGGTTTTTACTAATCTGTATCTAAGGCATAAGACAAAATCTGAACTTTTTCTGGATGGAAGTATTGGGGATGGTGTTCAAAACTGTAGAAAGAGGGCCAAAATGCTAACGAGCACAAGGAGTTTGAAAGATCACTGTGATTATCAGACTATCCTCCGTCACACATAGATATACATGTGATTACACACACATATGCATAGAAATATACACATACATACTCTGAACTTGCATGTAATTCTGTAAAGACCATTCAGAAATTCTTTATCTGGAAAACAAGAGCATAAAATTTCTGAATCTTATCTTGCGAAAGAGGAAAGCCTTAGAGATTAGATCCTCTATTTCCAAATCAGGGGAGTGCAGAAGAAATGGATTTGTCCCATACAGGTGCAGCCTAACCAAGTGTGATGGGCCCATAAAAGATGTCTCCCAATAGTTTTGGGATATAAAAATATATAATGGAAGCTGTTTTCACTAATGAGTGGTTCAGCTTGTATTTTGATTCAATAAAGTGTATCAGGCATTTTTAAATTGAATCAGTATGAGAATAATATGACATCCTTTAAGAAATTTTATCTGTAGCTGAGGTGTGCATTTCTTTTTCTTTCCTAAAATTTGAATGACTCCCTAATTTATGACAACTATGTAAGTAGGTTAATGTGAACTGGCTACATTGCATCCTAGTGTAAACTGCTCCATGGCACCATTAACCATAGAATGTTCCATGTTTGTAAGAGTCCTCATTAGTTGGAGATGATGTTAATTTTCTTTCAGTGTAGTTCTGTGAGATTTACACTTAAACTGAAAACAGAACAAACACACACACACACACACAAAAAAAAAAAACCCCTGTGGATTTTAACCTAAGTACATTATATAGCCTATGTAGTCCTAAATTGTCTAAAGTTTCTACTTTTTTTTTTTTTTTTGGTGGTGGGAGAGGGAATGGGGGTTGAACTCAGAGGCAATCAACCACTTAGCCACATCTCCAGCTCTATTTTGTATTTTATCTAGAAAAAGGGTCTTACTGAGTTGCTTAGCACCTCTCTGTTGCTGGGGTTGGCTTTGAACCCTTGATCCTCCTGTCTCAGCCTCCTGAGCTGCTTAGGTTACAGGCATGTGCCACTACTAGAGCCCAGCTCTACTTATTTTTTAAATTTTTTTTGTTTTAATTAATTATACATGACAGTAGAATGTATTTATGCACTTTGATATATCTTACATAAATAGGATATAGTTTCATTTTTCTGAGTGTACATATTGCAGAATCATATTGGTCATATAGTCACATATATACATACAGTTATAATGTCTGTTTCATTATATTGTCTTTCCTATCCCCACATCCCCTCCCATCACTTCCCTCTACCTAATCTAAGTTAATGCTATTGATGCTGTTTATAGTATATTTTAAAACCATGTTGAGCAGAGTTTATCTTCTAGTTAATTCAATAAAATGAATGTTTTTGAGAAAATTCTATGTATTAGGGACTTTTAAAATGCTTTTCATGCTGAACAAAATTATTTATATAATGCTAATCATTACTTTGTGGAAAATTCTTCTGAAAATTGATAGCTAAAGTTTATATTTCCCCTTCATAATTCATATTTTTATTCTTTTCCTCTTCATTTATAAGATGTTTGTATCTATATCTGTGTCTCAATCTCTCTCTCTCTCTCTCTCTCTCTCTCTCTCGTGTGCATGTGTGTGTGTGTATGTGTCTCACAGGTAATCAGCATTCAGTTTCATGACTTCCTGCTAAAAACAATACAATCCACTAAGACAAATGTTGTGGTGAGATAAATCACTGCACTGTTAAACAAAACAAAACAAAACAAAAAACAGAAAAAGATCAGATCCAACTTGGTCAGATTGAGAAAAAATGTTTTGAGAACAAAAGTGAAACAATTGCTTGTTACCTCATCATCCCTGGCCAAACTTAGGACTATTAAGGTAAGTGGCTTTCTTTGGATGGATGTGTACTTCTGCCTGTCACACATATTAACCAGAGAAATATTTTAGTAGAAACTTTCTGTTACATTTTTTGTTACACTTTAAGCAGTAGAAATCAATAGCTTAGTGTCTTGGAGCAATTGCTGTAATCTTTTTTCTTTCTCTTAGTGACTGTTTTCTGAAGCAACAATTCACAACTAGAGTAAACACCTTTTGAATTGTAGTCACATCAACTAAGAAGATTGTTTGCATCCAGTCTGTATACAACCATAGCTCATCACTTTAAGACCACCGATCTGTTGACTATCATTTTCTCTGGAATTTTAAGCCTGTCTTTATAAACTTATAACAATTATTATATAACTCAAAGAAATATTTTGATAACAAAAAAAGACTGGAAATATAAATGATATAGTATTATTATATTAACATTAAACCCTGGAGAAAGATCCAAAACATACTTTGATATTAGAAAGTTACTTAGAGACTATTAAATATTACAATTTTCAACTTTAATACTTTTTACTTCATTTTCATGTCAAAATATAGTATTCATATAAAAATATGATTTTTTTATAAATGCTTTATTTTAATAAATATGTCATCAATTGTGAGAGTATTTGCTAAAGACAAAACCATGTTAGGAATGCAAATATAACAAGTGATAAGTCTGTGAGTTGTAGCATTTTCTAAATCATGTAGAACAATGACAGAAAATACTGTTATCTGTTCATTAAGCTGTCGTTATATACATAAATAATATATACGTACCTTTGAAATTAGAGTTTCTGACTATTAGATACAATTTCAATTTCAAGTTTTTTTTTCTGGAGCACATTTCTCTTCCACAATTGGTGCTTATAGAAATTTCTCTTGCTTTATACTTACTGTAATTTACTTTTCCAGAGCAACTTTTCTCCACGTATCCTAGAACACTTTGACTTTCATTTCATCATTTCTAGATTTTATCATTTTAAAATGATTTTATCCTCAATCTAAAATCCTCTTTCTTTATTGGACCCTTTATTCATGGATCTTAACTTTTTATTGTCCCTGACTGACTCAATTACTTCCCACCATTTCGTACCTAACTGCTAAGAGGAATCTTTAGAAAAAATCATTAAAAAATTACTTTTTTTGCATTGATTCCTTAATGTTTTAACAATATCTTGTTCTACGTTTAGCAAATCCACAACACAAGCTAATTTAGTTCATCAGGGCAATATGTGTGAGCCTATCATGGTAGGGGAAAGAGCATACAATCAAGATATTCTGATTCTTCACACACTATCAAAATGATCACTTCAGGTGAATTTTAATATTGTCTTAAAAGTAAACCACGTAACATTTGACTATTTACTATCCAATTTTCCTAAGTAATTTATTTTTGTTTTAAAATATATTTTTAGGGCTAGTCAGTGCGCGAACGAGAAAGGAGGAGGGCGCTCCAGGCGACAGCACTGCAGTCGCCATTATTCTCTGTTTCTCTGCTGCACCGACCTCGACGATTTGCCTGCATTTCACTTGTTTGGGGCCCATAGATTGGTGTGTCCATTTAATACAAGAAAATGGAAACTGAACAGCCAGAGGAAACCTTCCCCAACACTGAAACCAATGGTGAATTTGGTAAGCGCCCTGCAGAAGATATGGAAGAGGAGCAAGCTTTTAAAAGATCTAGAAACACTGATGAGATGGTTGAATTACGAATTCTGCTTCAGAGCAAGAATGCTGGGGCAGTGATTGGGAAAGGAGGCAAGAATATTAAGGCTCTCCGGACAGACTACAATGCCAGTGTTTCAGTCCCAGACAGCAGTGGCCCCGAGCGCATATTGAGTATCAGTGCTGATATTGAAACAATCGGAGAAATTCTGAAGAAAATCATCCCTACCTTGGAAGAGGGCCTGCAGTTGCCATCACCCACTGCAACCAGCCAGCTCCCGCTTGAATCTGATGCTGTGGAATGCTTAAATTACCAGCACTATAAAGGAAGCGACTTTGACTGCGAGTTGAGACTGTTGATTCATCAGAGTCTGGCAGGAGGAATTATTGGGGTCAAAGGTGCTAAAATCAAAGAACTTCGAGAGAACACTCAGACAACAATCAAGCTTTTCCAGGAATGCTGCCCTCATTCCACTGACAGAGTCGTTCTTATTGGAGGAAAGCCTGATAGGGTTGTAGAGTGCATAAAGATCATCCTTGATCTTATATCTGAGTCTCCCATCAAAGGACGTGCACAGCCTTATGATCCTAATTTTTATGATGAAACATACGATTATGGTGGTTTTACGATGATGTTTGATGACCGCCGTGGCCGTCCAGTGGGATTTCCCATGCGGGGAAGAGGTGGTTTCGACAGAATGCCACCTGGTAGGGGTGGGCGTCCCATGCCTCCCTCTAGAAGAGACTATGATGATATGAGCCCTCGTCGAGGACCCCCACCTCCTCCTCCTGGTCGAGGTGGCCGGGGTGGAAGCAGAGCTCGGAATCTTCCTCTTCCTCCACCACCACCACCTAGAGGAGGAGATTTAATGGCCTATGACAGAAGAGGAAGACCTGGAGATCGCTACGATGGCATGGTTGGTTTCAGTGCTGATGAAACTTGGGACTCTGCAATAGATACATGGAGCCCATCAGAATGGCAGATGGCTTATGAACCACAGGGTGGCTCTGGATATGATTATTCCTATGCAGGGGGTCGTGGCTCATATGGTGATCTTGGTGGACCTATTATTACAACACAAGTAACTATTCCCAAAGATTTGGCTGGATCTATTATTGGCAAAGGTGGTCAGCGGATTAAGCAAATCCGTCATGAGTCTGGAGCCTCGATCAAAATTGATGAGCCTTTAGAAGGATCCGATGAGTTTAAAGCAAATTTTCAAATTCCTGGAGAAAAAAAAAGAGAAACAATTCAAGGAAATATAACTATAAAGTCAAGAAAAGAGTGTTTTTAAAATTTTTTTTGTAATGTTTCTATTTTTGGGCAGTAAAGCTGGTTTCAAATTCTGTCATTGTCATGGATAGTCTCATGACAATGTATCATGGCTGATACTCCTCCATTTTTAATTACTGGCCATTGGGATAAATTGAGTGAAATGTGATGAATGAGAGAAGTAACATCATTGCCCAAAGTGAGCTATTACAACTGTAACTATACTGATCAGGCAAAAGCAGAAAATTAAATGCCTGAAAGGGTAAAAAAAAATCTGTGAAGAAAATGAAGGGGGGTGACTCAAATTGGGGTAGGGAGAAAGAACATGAGAAGAAGATTATCTCTAGATAGGGAAGAGAGGTGGGAGGGAAAGAAAGGGAGAAAGGGAATTATATGGAAGATGGAAGGAGACCCTCATCGTTATACAAAATATATGTATGAAGATGTGAGGGAAAAAAAGAATTGCGTCACCTTAGATTGGGTAAAAAGAAGTGATGGGAGTGGAGGGGAGAGGAAGGGGGTAAAGGAAGGGCAGTAGAATGAAATAGACATTATTATTGATGTGTGTATATACGTGACTACATGACCAATGTGATTCTGCAACCTGTACACTCAGAATAATGAGAAATTATATCCCACCTGATTCAAATGTTTGATATGTCAAGGTCATTGTACTGTCATGTGTAACTAATTAAAACAAGTTTTTAAAAAAAGAAAAAGAAAATGAAGTACTATTTTTGTTTCTCTCTTAAAAATGAGCAAAGTAAGTTTGAATCCTTGTTGAAAATTTTACCAATCATCATAAGTGGGATACTTAGCCCCCTGAATATGTTAGATCTACATATTTGTGAGTTTCTATAAGACAAAAGAATCTTTGTAGATGTGATTAAATCAAGCCAGTGAAGTGAATAAGCATGCCTGGAATTTTTTTGATGGTCCCTGAAGGCAATCACAACTAGGAGACTGAGGATTCCATAGAACAGAAGGAAGGCATTGGGGTTAGAAAGGCAGGAATTGAAAAGATATGCCCCAACCAAGGAATGTAGATGCCACCAGAAGCTGGGAGTAGGCAAGGAATTGATGGTCCCTTAAGGCCTCCTAAAGGACTGTGGTTCCTGGAGACCTTGATTTTAACACAGTGAAAATGGTGTTAAACATTTGTCCTCTGGAATTGTGAAAGAAAAAAATTAAAATTGTTTCAAGTGATCCAATTTTTGTTAATTTGTTACAGAAACTACAGAAAACTAAATAAAACACCATATTTTTTTCCTAAAACATTTTGCTAATTAATCTCCCATTACAACTTTACCAAAATTGTACATGCTGCATTTAATTAGGTTTTGAAATAAAAGTTCATTCCTTTCAACAGTATTTCAAAACATTTTTAATTTACTTTTTTAAAATATTTTTTCAGTTGTAGATGGACATAATGCCTTTATTTTATTAATTTATGTTTCTGCAGTGCTGAGGATCCAACCCAGAGCCTCACACATGCTAGGCAAGTGCTCTATCACTGAGTTACAACCCCAGCTCCTGAATATACTCTTTGATGCCCGCCCCCCACCGCCCAAGTGCACCTTTTTCCTACTTTGGTTATATTTCAAAGAAAGAGTCAAGAAATTCATTTTGTACATTCAGACCACTCTGACCAAAGAAAGTTCAGACAAGCCATGCAAGCATAATTTATGCACTGTCAACATGTGAATTAACACTTTTTCAGGAAAGAACTGTTTCCACTTCAGCATTTTCTGATAAATCATTACAGTTACAAAATAACTTATTTATAAGCATATTTTGTTGATAAAGCCAGGAATAAAATAACTACCCCGAAGGTATGTGCTAGAACAATAACTGTGGTAGAAAATGACAGTCATAATTTTGAGAGTAAAGTTTCCCTGTTAATTTTTAAACAGCATACTTCTGATTCTATATTTCTTCAACAAAGTCACCTGTTATATGATTCATCTATAATGAAATATCAGTGAAATAAATTTACAGTTAATACGAGTTGCATAGATTGAAACAATAGATTTTTAAAGTAGAATACTTGTCTTCACTTCCAAGGAAGCACCTTATTTAAATTATTTCCATAAAACATAAATTCTGAAAATGTGCAAAAGATGTAAATTCATGACTCAATGAATTATCATAAAATAGGTATGAATTATCATAATACCCATGAATCACGGCCAGTATTAGGAAGTTGATCAATGCCCTATCAATGCCCTCTGTCTTCTCCAATGGTATTCTTAATTTTACTTGCTAGACCTGCAGTTTACTTTTGCCCATTTTTTTTATTTCTGTAGCAATCGATAGAACCTCTCACTGATCTATTATTTTGCATCTGACTTCTTTCTTTCAACATGTGGTTCATCTGTATTTGTGAGTTTTTATTTCTTTATAACAGTAGAATTTCATATTCCAGATGCACTATGATGAATTTAAACATTCTATATTTTTGTACTTTTGTTTTTGATTCAGGCTATTTTAAATAGTATTTTGTGAGTATTTTGTATGTTTTGGGATATACGTTCACTTGATATATGCTTAAGTAGAATGACTTGGCAATAGATTTTGTATATATAAATTGCACATATGACAGATGTTTTAAGAGTTTCATAATTTACAAATGCTCCTCCAAACATTTCCCAACAACAGGTGAACTTCCCAGTTGTTTAAAATACTCAACACACTAAGCATAATGCCATTGTCTAATAAATTTGAAATCTGTATAATTATGAAAGCTTGGTTTATTTCTTTTATATTTTAGAGGTTTTAATTTAAAATGGTGTGATTACTTTATGTGAATTTTATTTCCTTCTGAGATTTCAATTACATATATTTTAAACAATTTATTTTCTATATTTTAATCCTTTTGTGTATTTAATGTACTTTTAATTTTCCATGATTTTTATGAATGCTTTTCTATTGTATTTCCAGTTCACTAGTCCTATCTTCAGTTAGGCCAATTCTGCTAGTAAATACATGTATTGAGTTCTTAATTTTGGTATTTCAATTTGTATTCTTTCTTTCTTTCTTTCTTTATTTATTTATTTTTACCAACTACTCTTCTATGTTTCATTTCACGCAGCAATATTTTACCAATAATTAATGAAGAACACCTTAAATTTAAACTTCCTTACATATATTTCTTCTTTTTCTTCTAAATGTAAACCTAAACCAATATGCCAATTTTAATTCATTTCTATTCTTTTCAGTTTTCCTCTGAATTTATCACATATTTTATATCACTATTGTAATAAGCAGAGTTATTTTAAAGACTGTGTATGATGTGAGACTTATTTGTATTTCTTAATTGTTTCTCTAAGTTATCTTGGTTCCTCATAGCATTTGGGTGAGTGCTGGAGTAAAAATAAAGCTGAAGAAGATACAATTTTTTTAAAGGTTTTGATTTTGTTTCTGATAGAATTATCTGTCTATACATTAATTAATTTAATGGTATCACTGATTAATTGTAGAGATCCAATTAATGAATAGTTGGTCTTGGGAATAGTATCTTCAAAAATTGTTAATTTTTTTTCCTAGAAAGAATCCTTTGTATACAAAATTACATATAAGAGGTTGTGAGGGGAAAGGGGAAAAAATATCCAGCAACAAGGGAGAGAATTGAATTACCTCAGATGGGGTAGAGAGAGAAGATGGGAGGGGAGGGGAGGGGGGGATAGTAGATGATAGGAAAGGTAGCAGAATACAACAGTCACTAATATGGCATTACGTAAAAACGTGGATGTGTAACCAATGTGATTCTGCAATCTGTATATGGGGTAAAAATGGGAGTTCATAACCCACTTGAATCAAATGTATGAAATGTGATATGTCAAGAGCTTTGTAATGTTTTCAACAACCAATAAAAAAAAGAAATAATAAAAAAAGAATCCTTTGTTATCCTTACCTCCCTTAAATCCTGGACTTCAATTTTATTGAGCTTGTTGTCCCCAAAGCCCATCACTGGTTTGTTCCATTTCTTTGTTGCTTTAATATAAGAATGCATTCATTTTTTGCCTGTGGGTTTTATTTAAACTTTGTAAAAGCACCTGTACTTCTTGAGCTTTTCAAATTTCCCCTTAAATTTTTGACATATACAATTATGCAATTTGAAGATAAAACAAATTCTATTCACCATTTCTAAATTGAGTATTTTTCATTTTTCATATTTTGAGCAGAAATGAGCAATAAGTTGTTATTCCTAAGATTGCAAAGAAAAAAAAAAACCCTCACATTTAATAATAAATCCTATCCAAATGCCATATTCACAAAATACATTTTTGAAATATAAATTTTCTTCCATTACTCTTAATAATCTTTGCCATAGGTGTGGAATAGTCCTGATATATTAAAAATAATAATGCTACAATGACATTACTATTTATAAGTAATTAATTAAGTATAGTGAAAGTGCAAGTTCAAAGTCTTTATTATCATTTTGTCTTCTTTAATAAACAAACAATAAAATATAGTGTTTCAATTATGAAACATGAATAAGTTAAAGATGTAGAGTGCCTAAAGTCAACAATACTATATTTTACAGTTTAAATTTATGGAGAGTGTGGATCTTATGCTAAGTATCTTATAGTAAAAATATTAGTAAGATCAGGATAGTATTTGTGGGGATGATGGATACATTTTTGGCATAGATTTCGTGAAAGTTTCATGGCTTGATAGCTATCATCAAATCAACTTGTGCAAATTAAATATGCCCAGCTTTTAGTATATTAATCATACTTTGATTATTTCGGTAAATGTCGTCATCATTGCCCTAAATTATATTACAAATTAAACTTGAAGCCTCAATACCAATCATATTTTCTCAAACTGTTCATCAATTATGCTTAAATTCACTAATAATTTTGTGTTTATTATTTATTAATTTGGTATTTATATCTTAGTGCGAATTATAAAAAAATAGCAAGTATTTTTTTTATTTGGATTTTGTTTTTCCCATAACAATTTCTCTGTTTTCCTCTTTCACTGATAATCTTTTATATTTTTATTACTGGGCTT